AACCCCAGGCACCAGTACAGGCTGGGGGTTGACCTGCTGGAAAGCAGCTCTGCTGAGGAGGACCTGGGAGTCCTGGTGGACAACAAGTTGAGCATGAGGCAGCAGTGTGCCCTTGTGGCCAAGAAGGCCAATGGGATCCTGGGGTGCATTAGGCACAGTGTTGCCAGCAGGTGGAGGGAGGTGATCCTGCCCCTCTCCTCAGCCCTGGGGAGGCCTCACCTGGAGTACTGGGTCCAGTTCTGGGCTCCTCACTACCAGAGAGACATGGCACTCCTGGAGAGAGTCCAGCGGAGGGCTACAAAGATGATGAGGGGACTGGAGCATCTCTCCTCTGAAGAAAGGCTGAGGGAGCTGGGCCTGTTTAGCCTGGAGAAGAGAAGATTGAGAGGCGACCTCATCAGTGTGTACAAGTATCTGGAGGGAGGGTGTCAAGAGGATGAGACCAGACTCTTCTCCGTGGTGCCCAGTGACGGGACAAGAGGCAACGGGCAGAAACTGAACCACAGGAAGTTGCATCTGAACATGAGGAAAAATTTCTTTCCTGTAAAGGTGACAGAGCACTGGCACAGGTTGCCCAGAGAGGAGGTTGTGGAGTCTCCTTCACTGGAGATATTCAAAACCCACCTGGATGTGATCCTGGGCAATATGCTCTAGAAGACCCTGCTTGAGCAGGGGGGTTGGACTAGATGATCTCCAGAGGTCCTTTCTAACCTCAACTGTTCTCTGATTCTGTGATTCTGTGATTAGCAGCCCCTTCACACTTCATTCTTCACTCACAGAGCAGCTGTCTGATTCTACTTGATTGATTACACTGAAGTAGTTACTTGTGCTGGTACCATAAGGGTTTACTACTAAATAGTGAAGCTGTAGGTCTCTTACTAGCACCTTTTCTGCAGACCTAGAAAGTTTCTGCTACAGTTACTCTGGTTGGAGATTTAATTACAATCATGAGGGCTTCAGAACGAAATAAAGGTGTAAGCTTTGTCCTTGCTAGAAAAGACTGTTCCCATTGGCAGATCTTTATAGTCTGGATAGAATACTCTCCAGGAAAAGAGCGTTTTCTCAGTAAAGCTTGTACAAGTCCCTAAGACAAAATAAACTATACATGCAAAGGGCTTTGCACTGAAAAATCCACGTTCTTTTTTAAAAGTGTCAAAATTTGGTCTAAATAAGCTGGTATTTGTCAGGTATACTATGTGTGTTTACGGGCTATTTGGAAGACATAGAGCAATACATACTGTGACTAAGAAAAGATTCAATACAACAGACTTTCTTGTCTGCCTCATGTACAGGTTCAAAATGTTTATGCTGCTATTCCAGAAATCCCAGTTTGATCTCCCTCTGTGTGTGTGTGTATGTGCATAATGCATTGTAGTCTAACACTTATAATTACATTCAGAGCCATCTAAAGACTAGAGTGTAACAATATGCATAAATAGTCTTATACATATGTATTTCTTCCAGATACGAGGATGTTTGTGTTGCTTTACATTACAAGTTTTGCCATCTATACAAGCGAACAACCTCTTCAAAGCCAGTTCAAAGGAGAAAATTACTACACGAGATATATTTGTAGCATACCTGGTTTGCCAGGTCCTGTAGGTCCTCCTGGAGCTAATGGATCCCCAGGGCCACATGGACGTATTGGTCTTCCAGGAAGAGATGGTAGAGATGGCAGGAAGGGAGAAAAAGGTGAAAAAGGGAGTGCAGGTATTGAATATTCATGTAAACTAATGCAGTAGGCCAACAAATTAAGATCGTTCATCACTGTTTCATATAGGTGTGTGTGTGTGTGTGTGTGTATATACATACATACATACACACATACTATATATATATACACACAAAAATACACATATAAAAGATGAATGTGTGTATATGTCTGTGTGTCTGTGTGTATGCATGTATATATAGGGAAATAAAATATTTTTATATATATTTAGATAGGTATATATACTGAAATCTACATATACTGAAATATATGTAAATAAATATAAATGTATAGACTTCCTTGGCTAAATGCTAAAAGTTTGGGGAAAGAAGTATGTGTGGCAGCAGTGGTGTCAAATAATTAGTCTCATTTGTGCCATTACCCTGGAATAAAAGGTTAACAAGTACTTTAGTACACAGTAAAATGCTCAAACGGTAGGAAATATTTTGTGCGTAAGGACCATTATATAGGTAACCATGCTGCTAGCTTTCCCATCAGCAGTGTCAAAACTTCAGTCAGCAATGGAGTGATTATATATAAATTCCTTCAATGATGTGAAAAAATTGCAGATGTATGTAGTTAGTATGTGTAATCAAGAAGTATGACGAAAACTAGGCATATAGAAACAAAAGACTTATAGACAGTAGAGTCTGGCCCCTGTTCCAACATGCCATTCCTTCCACAAAGTCACCAGAAGCATTCTGAAAGTACTTTTGGAATATTTTGAAATTCTGACTTTGTTTTTCTTGTTTGTTCAGACATACACATTAGCCCACACAATCATTTACTGAGATGATCTGTGTAATGATTAACTAACTTAAAATGTTTTTGAAGGTTTAAGAGGGAAGACTGGGCCTTTAGGACCAGCTGGAGAGAAAGGAGACCAAGGTCAGTCTGGTAAAAAAGGACCTGGAGGATTGACTGGTGCCAAAGGTGAAGTAGGTCCAGCTGGACCACCTGGACCTAAGGGAGATAAAGGAGACCGAGGAGAGCCAGGTGCACCAGGGTTCTGTAAGTGTGGAAAGATAGTGCTGAAATCTGCCTTTTCGGTTGGCATCACCACCAGCTACCCAGAGGAAAGATTACCAATTGTATTCAATAAAGTCCTCTTCAATGAGGGTGAACATTACAATCCTTCCACGGGAAAGTTTATATGTGCCATCCCAGGGATTTATTATTTTTCTTATGATATCACCTTAGCAAATAAGCATCTTGCAATTGGGCTCGTTCATAATGGAAAGTACCGGATAAAGACATTTGATGCGAACACAGGAAACCATGATGTAGCATCTGGATCCACAGTGATCTACCTTCAGCCAGAAGATGAAGTGTGGCTTGAGATCTTCTACACTGACCAGAATGGTCTCTTTTCAGATCCAACATGGGCAGACAGTTTGTTTTCTGGATTCCTCTTATATGTTGATACAGATTATCTTGATGCTTTATCAGACGAAGACGAGCTCTGAAGTGGATGATGTCAAATCACATCCAAACTGGACAGTCCGAAGGAGGATTTTATCTGGCCAGCCATAGGAGACAAACAGAAATAATATGGGATTTGATTTTTGCTTTGACATGAACCAAATTCAGAAGTTCAGAAGAATGCTTCTAGAATCTAAATTGGATTCTTTACCAAACAGCAGGGATAACAAAAGGAACAAAGGGGAACAAAAGGAATAATTAATAAAAGACTGCATCACTCCAAGACTGACTCTTCTTGAAAGTTACATTTATAATACTATTTAAGCAAATTTAAGATAATGTACATTTTTTATATGTAAAATATATCAAGTTGAAATTTAGAATGGATATTTTCTATATGATATTAAAATAAAATTGAACAATTGACAGATATATCATCTTTGGTAATTTTAAGATGGGAAAGACATTAAAAATAGACAAAACACTGATTTAGAAAATGGAAAGCAAAAAAATAGGAATAGCTGCTCCAGAATTCACCCAAACAGGTCACAAGCACAACGCATCTGATATTTATACCAACAAAAGATATTCAGTGTTAGCCCACCTCCTAAATCATGCAGACCTTTACCGGCTGAGGACTGCCCCATGACAGGGATAAAAGAACAAAATAAAGGTATTAAACATATAAAATAGCTTAAAACTGTCTGGGAGAACTGAAAACTTGCAGAGACAATCAGTGTCCAATGTGGGTATTTTCAATTCAACTTCAAGAGGATTCACTATTTCTCCAGTATTATTCGGTATTTTTCTGAAAAATGTGGAAGAAAATACAAACTTTTTGCTTACAAAATTTATGGGTGCCAATAAAACGATAGAACAGTAACCAGTAATGAGGATGAATTATATAGAACAAATTGAGTCACACAAGCAATTTAGGCGTGTATTCTAACACGGCCGAATGCAATACAATGAATACAAGTCATAGACAAGATGAAGGACTGCAGAAATTCATTGACCTTGGAAAAGGTACATGACCCATCACGGATAATCAGCTAAAGATGAGTCATCAGAGTAGGCTGTTGCTGCAGGACTTTGGCGCTACGATCAGTGAAATTACACATCTGTGGAATTACATAACAAGAAGGAATAGGGAGTAGTATTACTTATGAAACTGTTACTCATGTCAACATTTCAAAAAGTTAATGGAAAATTGAAAAAAAAAGATCGCAATTCTGGCCACGTGGGTTACCCGAGAGACCTAAGAAGGTCAATTCATTTTTCCTGTCAGTGGGAAGGTTAAGAGGTGATTTGATTGCAGTCCGTAGGTACCCGTCCAGTGATAAAATTTCTGGTAGTAGCTGGCACTTCATGCCATCAGAAAACAAGATCCAACAGTGAGAGACTGTATAAATTCCCATTGGAAACAAGACACATGTTTTGCCAGTGGTGGTAATCAATCGTTGTAAAAAGCACCTAGGAACATCACGAGTTCTTCGGCACTCAATACCTGTAAGTCAAGATTAGAAGTCTTTAACTGAGTGTTTAGAGATGTAGTTACTCCACAAGAAATTGCAATTTTATTGATTTTATTTTATTAGTCTCAGGTTTACAGAAGCCTGTTATTTCTAACAGTTATTCAGATAGTTTCAAATGCTATCTGGTCCTTGTTATACAACACCTACTCCCACTTTGTTGATGACTCACAAAGGGATGAATTTCTGTTTTTTTCTGTGTACTTGATTTAATTAAGAAAATTACAACCAAATAAAATTGCACAAAATATTGTTGACATTGCAATACGAGGAAATGTTAGCACTACAGTTATGTATGGAACATTAATCTGTGCTCATTGTATCTGTCCTCTCATTTCCCCAGCTATACAGATATGCACTAACATGCATGTCTTTGGGTACGACTGCTGCTTTACGCAGTGAATAGGTGTAAAGTTCTGTCCACAAATCAAAGAACAAGCAATACTTGTACAATTTTTATTTTATTGGACAGTGGAAGATGGAAGTGGATCATTTTCCAGCCAGACATCTAATTTATTAGTATTATACAAGGGCTGCTTCCTGTGAAAATATAAAGAGAACACTTACAGATTCGGTTTATCATTGTAATCTCTAATCATGTGTACATCTGTAAATTAAGCACAAAATGCTCCTTAATCATCATTTCTACAACAATGATTTATGCCAATTCTTCAGAGCTATCAGTGACTTTACAAAGCAAAAAGAAGGACTATCAGGAGTGCCCAGAGCTGCCTGCAGTGAAACATCATAGGACATAACTGACAAGCATATTGGGCCCATAACTCCCACGAAGCATGATTCAATGGATGCACGATTGGACATACAATGTGTACATTGTGCAACAAAAGCAATTAATAAAAGCATTTAGTCATATATTTATTTTAACTAAAAAAAATGAAAATTGGTTTACAACATCTGGCTCAGCAGAAAGTTTATATTAAGAGTAACAACTCAATCTTTATTACGGGGAAAATTTAAAAATGCTTCAAACCTTCGAGTTAGAAAATTTCCTATAAAGTAATACTTAAGAAAAGAGTGTGACTGGTTTTCTTTGGACGATGCAGGAACATATTTGGTAGTTAGCATAAATTTGGCAATTTTTAGACAAAACTGATTCGTGAACATTAAATAGAGAAAAAATAGGGCTTTATAATGAAAGGTTACTGGTTGCAATCCTAACTAAAAGCAAGCTGCTTCCCTGCAATAATCTTGTAAAAGTGAATGAAATAAATATAAAAGATGTGCTTTAACCACACCTATGTTGAAAATTACTTCATGGGAATAAGTAAATCAAGAGTCACTGCCTCTTTCTACTTGATAATTTTAGATTTATGTTCGTACAATCATTGAAAAGTCATTTTAGGTTCCCTAACTTTTCCCATTTGGATTATGCAGTTTTTTGAGTGGCCTAATATTTTGGCACAAACTGTTGGAAACCAAAAAAAATCTGTTAAATTATTCCTCTAGGTTTTGGCAAGAAGAATGTCTTTTCCACATGTATGGACAATATACATATACATATGTATATACACACACACACATACACGTACATACATACATACATACATACAAGTAGCATGTATCCCTTCCCTCATTTGGGAAGTCAAGACACTATCCTGAGGTAAATCCTCGTTACCCCTGTTGTTTCACTTGAAAGTAGATAATTTTGATGGCATGCTGTGTCACTAGGTGTATTCATCTGCCTAAATATGAATTTATATCAAAAATATCTTGGGCTAGAGTCCAGGATAACTGCATCCTCTATTTGCATCCTAGGTGAGGTGTTTGGTTTGGTTTGGCTTCATAACCAATGAACCATAGTCATGCTGTAGGATAAAAAACAGCAGAATCTCTTTGGCATTAAAGTTGAAGTTAATCAAAGATTTCTACATAGTTTATACAGCATTCTGCACATGCCACAGTGTCATATAAAATTAGGCATCTGGACTAAGTAAGTTATCTAGACTTTCTCTACAGTGAGAAGAGAGAAATCAGTATTAGCAGGGAATAATCCGAGGGGGAAAGCATGACTTTGTTGCCGCACCAGCTCTTGGGCTTTCTGGGCAAGGCAGCAAGAATTCATACAAACCTGAGACTGCCGGGAAATCATCCAACAACATTAAGATTCATGTTCTTGAGATTCCTAAGGAAAAAATATATATTTACTTGGGAGATATGTGTGCAAATATACATAAGTAAACAACAAAGTTCTTTCAAACAAAATACCCCCCAAACCTTTTTTTCTTCCAGACATTCTTTATATGTTATAGAGTGACAAGAAAGATCAGTCCCATGTTCCATTGCTGAACATTTTTAACCTAGATACCTAATTAAACATTTTAAATGCACTAGAAACTCCATCTTCAAATAGTTACGGGTATGTTAATTTCAGTTAAATACCTTCTTTTTCTTCACTACTGGTATTCAAATCCATATGGTTTATGCTGCTATACAAATTTTTCAGGCAGCGATATATAAAATTAGTCCTGAAGAGTTATTTACAATGTTCAGACAACATAGAGGAAAAAAGTACCAATAGAAATAAGTATTGAAAAAGTAACCTACATTCTTCAAATCTTTTTAACTCTACCTAATAGCATTCATGTGTTTTTATGATAGGTGAAAATATAAAAATCTGACAAGCAGCTGGTTTTGTCCCCTACTGTCTGTTTCACTAGTTGGTGCTGTTTGTATAATACTTCCTTTTTATCTGCCTTCCACAGGTCACCCACTAAGTTCAGTTCATATTTATTCACTAACACATTTATTGAAACACTCACTTTTTACTAACAGGTTTAATTTACCCACTGGCATTTATTTTATATTCAGGTTAACTAAATCAGCATTGTACTACCAATTTGGTAAGTAGGAACTTGTTTTAAATGGCAATTTGGCATACTTTGTATATGTATTTCAGTAGGTGATGAACTCCATCCAAGAAAAAACACATTAGAGTAAGCAGGAAATTAACATAGTTGAGAAAGGAATATATTACAATGGGCTGCTGCTATTTCACCTGCTGAGTTGCACCTGCACGGTTTCATTTCACTGGTATATCTTTCTCAAGGAGTAAATATATTTTTGAAGAAGCATTTTATTTGTTTCGGTATAAACTATTTAGACTTCAGCTTACAGAATGCTGAGAGGTAATATTCATTTCAGTGTATTCACTTAAGTCAACATTGCCAGCTGGGGCTATATCAGTGTTTCTGACATATCAGAGGCACAATTCTTCCTCATACGGGCATGAAAAAATTCTGTGTACTTTAAGGAAGTTCTCAGTGTCTGATACTTGATTTTGCCTTTTTTATACATCGTACCAACTCATGAGAGTTATTACCTAAAGCAAAAGAAAAATTAAGTACACCAATTATACATTGATATTGACGATAATACCTACAGTTTAGTAGTACATACGTTACAAAAAAAGGTATTTTGAACTATTTGGTATATGGCTTATAACCCTCAATTCTGAGTATAATTACTTTGGTATGGTCCAGCCTCTACCTGATGGGGGCTGGAAGGAAACTTTTTCCTAGATGTAGATTGTTCCTGAAGCAGCAAATATTAGCATGAAGTTCATCTGACTGCAGTCTCTAAAAGATCAGTGCGTAGGTTAAGCCAGTTGTTAGCTCTCCTGTCATCACTGCAAAGATACGGACAACTATACTAGAGAACTACTTTAAGACAAAAAATCTGGAGGTACCTGCCTTCTTGCATTAATAGTGAGGGACACCAAATTGACTAGCTTAGGTTAGAATTTAACTTTGAGATGGCAAAAGTTAAATAAGATTTCTGCTCTTGGAGAGCAACCTGCTAAGTGGGAAAAGTGGCTTAATTTAGTATGG